CACCACTACTGTTACTACTACTACTTCTACTACCACTACTGTTACTACTACTACTTCTACTACTATTATTACTACTAATACTACTACTACCACTACTGTTACTACTACTACTTCTACTACTATTACTATTGCTACTACTAATACTATTACTACTACTACTACTATAACTATTATTATTATTACTACTACTACTAAAATGATCAAAACTGTATTTTTAAGGAATAATCACAATTTTTAATAGTAAATTCCCTTTAGTTGTCAAAAAATAAAGTTTGTTTAGTTCAAAGATAAATTAATGTTTTATGCCTTTATCTGATTGACAAAAATTAAATACATAATACATAATTTCTGAGGGGGAAAAAACATTTCATAGGTCTCTAAACATGTGGTTTTTGTAAAACTTTTAATATATTGATATGAAATTGTATGTTTCATGATTTTAATTGCCTAGACATACTTTTTGTTTAATATAATTTAATTTAAGCATTAAAAAGGAGTGCAAAACATGGAATTTGAAAAAAAAATAAGTCTGAATTCATAGGGCCCTGGTTGTTTGACTAGTACCTCTGCATTAGGTTGTGATGGTGAGTTTCTTGCTCTGTCCTTCTTGTTCTTGTTGTTGTTGCGCTGGTCAGGAGTGGATCTGGACAGGAGAGGGCGCAGGATCAGCGTCAGCTCCAAGCTGAAGAGAGACCCGTCTCTCCCTCCTGTGCCTCCCGCCGGTGGGTCTCTGCACTCCTCCCTCTCTCTGTGTCCCCTGGCTGCGCTCTGACCGCCTCGCTCTCTCTCTCGTGTGTGTGTTTCAGAGGGCAGCCGGAGCGCCAGGCTCGTGTCGGAGCCCGAGGAGGACGACGGCGTTCAGTGGAGCTGCACTGCCTGCACCTTCCTCAACCACCCTGCCCTCAACCGCTGTGAAGAGTGTGAATTCCCCCGGCATTTCTGAGCCACGCCTGCCCTCTCGGCCCACTGTATGTGTGTGTGTGTTCGTCTTGCGATGTCCACTGAAGACTGGATGATGTTTACAGCTCTTTGTCTCTGTACAGTGTGTGTGTGTGTGCGTGTGTGTGTCGTGTCGTGTGGGAGATCAAGGGAAACTTCCCCGCTTGATCCGTGAAGAGGCTCGTGTTGCCGGTGATATTGACACGTTTACTTCATCCACACGCGGTTTACAGATGTGGCTTTGGATGCCAGTGTGCCTTTTTCATGGGAACTGATCGTGACTGCTTTATCAGTGCTGTTCCCAAAGGATCATGGGCGGAATCTGCTCAACTCACAGTTCTTCTGTTTGATCAATGAAATGCAAAAAAGAAAAGAAAAAAAAACCCTGCATGTTTTAGATGTACAGTTTACAGAGGAGTCTCCGCCACAGATTTTACTGTACATAGTTTTAGAACGAGCTTTTCTTTCTTAAGAATTCACATGTATTTCCTGTAAGTATAGCTTTATAGACGTCATTTATTTCTCTGTTGTTGTTTCGTTTGTTTCTCTCAGATGAGTATGGAGCGTTTGTGAGAAGCTAAAGGGATGCTGAAACAGCGTGCAGCAAACAGTGCTCTGTCAAGCACTCTATTCAGCGTACGAGCTGCAGACGCAGCAAAACTGAACTGAAAAAGATCTAGATTTTATTAATAATAAGGTACTTGACCTCGAAGCAGTTCACAGGCAGTCCATAAAGCCCAAGATAACAAACACGTTCCTGTGTGACAACTGGAATCTAGGTTTACTATGAGAGGAACTGATACCTTTGTGCCATGAAAGGGATGTTTCTCTGCTATGCATTGATGGAGCTCTTTCCCATTGTTTGCAGTAATGTGGGTCTGAGAGGAAAGACTTGTGTGCGTGTGTCCTCCGAACAGCGGACGAGTGTTCACAAGGGCTTTAACACACCGAGTGCTCGCCGCTGCCTTCTATGCTTCAGGATTTGTAAATTGCCAAAGCACAGGCGTCATGTCTCTGAGTGCAGCGAAATATTTCACCATGTGCCTTCGGTCTTTATGTGGGTCTCTGTTACGGATCATGGTTTGTGGCAATATGCACAGTGCCTTAACTTACAGATGTTACAGAATTTAATCTTTATTATTATTAAACTGTAATAAAGTTGCAGTTTGGTGACTTTATTAGTTGATTGAACTAAAACAAATGTTTTGTGATCCATCCTTATGAGAGTGCTAATGCATAAATTGTGCATTGAAAAGCTGAATGAGATTGTTATTTATAAAACCAATAAATACAATTTCCAAATGCTGGTTTCTGGTATCCAGGCTAAAAATAACTTGGCTGTGGAGAACGTTTATTCGCTCTGCTCTCTGTTTCCGAGATGAGGCTATTTTTGGCTCCAAAGACATTAGTCTCTGTGCTAACTTTTGAGAAAACCAAAGAAATAATCAGATCTGTCTGTCATGTGTTTATGGGTTTTAAAAGAAAAGGGGGAGTAAATCATTGTTTTTGATTAGCTGGGGAAACTGTCTTTGTAATAGATAAGTTATTTGTAAAAAAAAAATAATAATAATAAAAATGAAATAAGAAATAAATGCTGTCTCCTTTCCTGGAGTTTTTCTATCTTTAGATTTTAACAAGGGTTGTTCTTCTGGCTCCAGGTTGAAATTAAACTGGAAAATATGGCACATCCCATGGAAATACACCACACCACGGATCCTTATCACTTCAATTTCAGATGATCTCAATAACTGCATTCGGTTGAGAAGTGTTTGCTCTCACGAACAATGAAAAAACAAACACAGGCCCTAAAGCAGGAACTCGGGCATCAACAGTGAGTGTAACTGTGATCACTGACACAAAACAGTGAACCTGAGATCCAGTACGTGTGTGGATCACAGTGAATGAAGATGAACACCTGCAGCCCACTGAACAAGCGAAAGACGGTAGTCGTGTTATACAGGTGTCATATCTGTTTGTAGTTTGACTAATAATTCAAGGTTTGTGTGTAGAGTTACTGTGCGAATAATGCTTTGCATCTTGTGTGCATGTTTTGTGTAACAGCTCGATGCCACAGAACATTGAGTCTCTCAGCAAACATAAAGATGAACATGCAAAGTACTGAAAAAAAAAATATTTGATTGCTGCTGTGGGGCCTGTATTTTTAATACAGTAAATCTGAACTAGCCTCTAAAATGGTTTTACTCACTCTTGCTGGGAGCTGGCTAAGCTCCCGTTGAGGCTCCATACATGAAGGCTCCACAGCTCTGGCCGGGGATGCCAAATCTTGCATTTCGCCTGCGAGAGAAGGTCCTTGCTCAGTGGGATCGGCCATGGATCTGCTGCTGAGAGCTGCACTAACTCGGGTAACCAGGCCTGGTTCCTCCAGAGCGGGGGCCTCCAGGAGGACTGAGCACTTGCCCTCCCTGACCCGTCTGATGACCTGAGGAATCAGGGCGATCAGGGGGAAGGTATATAGGCGAGCACTGGGCCAATCGTGGGCCAGAGCATCTCGCTTTATTGAGAAATAAGTTTCGCAGTGAGAGTTGTCTTCCGAGGCGAAGAGCTCAACTTCTGCTTTCCTGAAAACAGACCAGATTTTCAGAACCGTTTGAGGATGTAGGGTCCATTCCCCTGGAGCTACATTGCCTCTGGACAGCATATCCGCGTCAAGGATCAGACTGCCTGGCACATGAACCACCCTTTTTGTGCTCAAAAACAAAGGTGTCGAGCCATCCTGTAAAGGGGACGTGACCTGAGACTACCCTGGTGATTGATGTAAGCCACCACTGTTATGTTGTCCGAACAGACCCGGGGCCTCATTTATAAAATGTGCATATGCACAGATTTGATCTTAGAGTGTGCGTACGCTAAAAACCATGGCAACGTTCATATTTATAAAAACGGTATTTGACGTGGAAAAGTACTTACCGTCACGTCAGGGTCTGAGCAGGCGTACGCACTTCTCCTTGTGGCAAAGTCAGAGTACTGCAGCCAGGGTCTAAAACTAACTTTTTGCTACACCTGCCAACAGCCGGTGACATGATCAAATTTACCGGCCAAACATTTTTTTTTACCGGCCATGAAACTCTTTTTGCAAAAACAGGCAGTTATTACTTCTACAACTAAACATATTTACACTGTTTTTAATTTGTCCTGCTGGTGCATTTTCCCTCAATAATACCTATTAATTTTAGCCATTCAACATTACAGTATTGAAAGCCATTATTTTTAACATCTAATGGGCTCTGAGATATATAACTTTCAATTTAAGCGATTTTAAAACAATCTTTAGATAAACTATATTATATATGCATAATCTATACATATTAATCTTTATTCAAGCTATAAAAGTTAATCAGCGACTAGAACGGTCCAAGAATTTCTTTTTCTTTTGTTCTTTGGTTTACATCAATGACAGACTTAAGCGGGTTTCACTTTAAAATCAGCGCTGTCTCTTTAAAACTGACACATCCGATTTTCTCCCAACTCTTTACAGTCATTTAAAACTTTATAACTCATTTAAGACTATGTTTACAAGGTAACAACAAGCATTTTGACATAATTGTGTGTGTTTTCGTGCATTGAAGTGCTATTAATGCGCTGTCTGAAGCGGCTCAGCGTCTGTGTAACAGCCGAACACGCAGCCTTTCAAACTATACTTCACTGCACCGTTTAGGCAGCGTAACCCAGGCATGTGTCGCCACATTCTCGGGTTATGAAGAATAAAGAAGGGAAAAGTTAATCTTCCGAAAAATGAAGCAGCAATATCTTCTCAGCTAAAAGTTATTAGAACCGTGTCTAGGGACAAGCTGGCCATCACACTGCTCTGACCTTATCAGCCCGTTTGTATCCTATTATTCGAGTCGCTCTTGTCGCTTATGACAGAACAGCTATTTAAAAATGGCTGTTGTTTTCACTTCATTTCATTGTTATAATTCGTAAAAGTTGTACCCACCAACTGGCGACTGACACTCTTACATGGAGTCACCATCGCTGATTTTTACTCGCATTTGGCGCTTGGCGAGTGTTAGTTTTAGGCCCTGACTGCAGCTATTTGAACATCAAAACTGCAATAATAATAATAATAAAAGTGGTGTTCATGCAAACACTGAATTCATCATAAACAAAGATGCAGTGTAAGAGATAGATGCAGTGTAGTTTTTGTGAGATTAAACTGACCTTTTTAGTAGCCTAATGTTGAGAGTTCTTGACTCACTTTCTGTAGGCCTACACAGTTTATTCCATGTTGTTGTTTTTTTATTATTTTATTTTACAAGAGAACTTGCGAAGTCTTGATTTACTTCTAATGCGTAAAATAGAAAAAAAAATGCATAAACGCATCTCCGACTGTTTTGTCTGTGTAGCCTATAAGAATAGGCCTATGTTGTGTAATAACGGTTTTAATATATTCTATTCAATAACATTGTTAACTTTTTTTATTTATAACATCTGCTGCTTTGCTTCTGTGAGAATTAATAGAATACACTATATATTTTTGTGTCAGTACATTAATGGCATAGCTTGCCCTATAGCATGGTGTATTTTTATTTGTTTTGTTAATAAAAGTTCTATGTTTTATATATAGGCTAAAGTGAGTTTGACATTGTATTTTGTAGTTGCATTCAAGCAATTGACGCCAAACTGCCGCTAAGTGAAAGTAAAATGTGCACGGCCTGAGATCTGCTAATGAGCGACGCCTCGTGGTACCATCACAGAGAGGCTCAAAATCACTTTCCAGAACATTCTCGTTCACCGTTCCTGGCTGGTGGAATGCTCTTCCCACTCCTAACCGGAATTCTGAATCCCTGACCATTTTCATGCGACAGCTGAAGACTTCATCCTAAATAAAAAAAAATAAAAATAGCTTGTACTTATTTGAACAATGCCTAAAACTTGGTATTACGAGCACTTCTTGTGTCTGTTTGCCTCTTTAAGAAGAATCACTTTATGTATTCCCCAATTGTAAGTCACTTTGGATAAAAGCGTCTGCAAAATGACAATGTAAAAGTGATGACTTATCAAATGTAATTCATTTCAGGGTTTGTACAACATTTTGAGAGAAGTTCCAGCCCTTTTAAATGACTTTCATATGAATTTCACACATCTATTTCCAGCACTGTAAAGCTCTAAAATGATCCAGTTTAAGTTATTTTCGTTTTTAATGGGACGAACAAAATATACTTTGTGGTAAACACTTTTAAAATTTAAATAAAAAAAAGACATCAAATGAACACTAGAACCAGTAGATGGCGGCAGAGGAGCTGTTGGCCTATCAGTGCTGGTGTGTTGCAGGGCTTGCTGTATGTAATCATATTGCATCATTGCTCTACCACACAGCACATTACAGCCAGCAGGGAGCAACAGCTGACCCCTAGGGTCTGAGCAGCAATGCCACAAACACAGGACCCAGGTGATGTTGGTCAACACTATCACAATTAATACACATTATAATATTATCCTATCTTTGTGATGTAATCTTTTTTTCTTTCTTGTTTTCATTTCAACTCACACCAACTTCCAATAACACAGAGAGTGCAGCATTCTTTTTTATAAGAATATGTAATCATTGAGCTAAATTAAACTAAACATAGCACAAAGTAAACAAGTTCTTATGCAGTATTTGTTTGCAGGGCTTTAAGCCTGCTCCAACAAATGAAATGGTGGTATTGTCAGCAAGGCCCAAGGAGAGAAGACTGGCAGAAGGCATCAGGTAAGGTGTAGGAATGGGAAGTGCTTTTGCTACATACTGTACATGTATTGAAAATGTGTATTTAAAATGTTGTACTTTTTTCTAAATGGTTTGATTTATTCTTATCTGCCCGTTACAAGAACCTTTAACACTGTATATGTTGTCATATGTATGTTTTCAGGAGCAAACTGTATAAAGCTGCCTGTAACATGACCTGTGGCCTTCCTGACATGTCAGTTCTGCGGCTGAATGATATTTGTGAACAGGGACGTGCTCAGACATTTTGAGGGGCAGGGGCTCAAGTGGAAAAAAGGGCACTTCTCATATTTATTTAAATGTTTTTCTAAATAAAACATTAAATATATGAAGGGTGTGCAATATTATAATTATAATAATTTCTGGGATTTTATCGATAAGGATAATGAGACGATATTTTGCTGAGTGTGTTCTTGTGCTGATATCTTAAGGACTGCTGTGGACAGCTGACTCCTAATGTTTTTATATTCTTCATGTTCTGTGTGGAGATCAGTTCACAGCAGTGATAGAAATTCATCTTTTCCAAAAAGTTTAAATAGATTTTTACCTTTTAAGGGCATTTTTACATCATCTTTTCAGTCAAATTCTTAAATTGAATCAGTCAATTAGAATAATAATACATTTGGGCTGTTACCAAACAAATGAAATCAGTACTGACAAAATGAATCTGCAATGCAGAGGAAACACAGAAGCTGCATAGGAAGAGGCATTTAGATGCATTTACACACTGTTTAATGCAGGACATGAATGCATTTAACCTGCAGTTACAAATGCATTAATACTGTTTTGATATATTAGACATAAAACGTTGAATACTGATATTTGAAATTATGGGG